TATTGAACAGCATAGGGTTAAAAGCTAAAATAAATATGCTAATGTTTATGAGCAACATTAGCATTCATTTGGTATGAGTCATATTGGGTCAACCAAATAAATGTCATCACTGACAGAGTGTTAATTGGTCATTCAAAGGGTAGAACAGAATGTATTAACACAATATACTTTGCATCATCACCTATGCCATTGTTGACCACAAGTATTAAGAAAAGAGAGGAATTCACTATGATTCTTGGATTATTGGCTAAGTCAATTGATGGCGGATGATATGCTATTAACCAGACAAAGAACACCGTAAATGTAATAAAACTGAGTGGTTGAATCTAGTTTTAAAAAGTGTGTGTGTGTGTATTTAGAAATATTAACTAAGACATTGAAAATGTGAACCTCAAATTCAAGGGAGAAGACTCTGCATTGGATATATACATTAGGAAGTCCATTTGCACGTGCTTAACAGTTAAAGCCACGTGAAATTATCCAGGAGAAAGTAGAAGTAAAGAGAAGAAGTGGACTTGGGAGCACTCCAGCATTTTAAAGCTGTATAGAGGATGAGGACCCAGCAAAAGAGACTGAGTAGGTGCTTCCAGTGTTATCATAAAAGCCAGTATAGCAGAGTATTTCCAAAAGGAGAAATTATTCTGAGGTTAATTAAACTGAGAACGGAGAAGTGATAATGATTTTCGAAACAGTAAATTTTGGAAGACATTGACAGCTGCAGTTTCATTGGAATGGTGTGGATGTGAGCCAGACTTCTGTACAGTGAGGCCTTAATGAGAGTGAAGATAACAAATAAAGACAACTCTTTTATCAAAAAGGGAGGAGAGAATAGAGGAAAAGAGTATTTTTCTTAAGGTGGAAAAAACTAGCATATTTGTTTGCACGTAGACATGAAAACACGAAAAGGAAGGATTTATGCAAACTAATGAAAAACCTATTATGTAGAAATTATTTAAGTATAATACACATACCAAAAAGTAGACATAACATGACCATGCAGATAGATCTTTGGATTTTTACCAGCTGAGCACAACTATGTAACTAACATTTAGATCAATAAAGAGAACATTGCAAGCATGCCAGAAGCCACCTTCATTTTCCTGTTTCTTTATCCTTTTGACCCAGGTTAACCAGTATTTTGATCTACAATGGCATAGTTTAGTTTTTTGTTATGCTACATAGTACTCCAAAGTGTGAATATACCATGATTTATGTATCCATTTAATGGTTGATATTATTTTGTTAGTATCCTGTTTGTGGTTATTATGAATGGTACAGTCATAAAACTAAAAAAAATATAATTTCAAAAATTAAAAAAAAACTAAATCCTTTACAATAGAACCAAAATCATAAAGTAAATAGGGTAAAATATAGCAAAATATACGCACAACTTTTCAGAAAAACTCTAAAACATTGTTCAGAAAATTTGTGGGATGAAAGTCTCAATATTGTTAAGACACCATTTCTTCCCCAAATTGATCTATTTGCAATACTAATCAAAATCTCAGTATTCTTTTTCTAAAGAAATTCACAAGATGATTTAAACATTTATTTTTAAGGCACAGAATTAGGAATACCCAAAATAATCTTGAATGAGAAGTTAATTTTTCTGAATTCGGAAACTCTCAAGGGCAAGTAAGTCCATCGGTGTATACCTATTTCCCTATCTTCCCAAGTACTAAACTCTCCTACTAAAATGTACACCTAGACGTATGTTTGGCAAAATTCACTATGAATTCTGTTTGTGGTTACTTCCTTTTAGGAGATGAAAAAGAAGAGAGCTATTGGTTAGTTTGTGAATTACAAATACTACGATAAAGGAAAAGATATACTCTTATGCTTTTCAGTAAGATCAGGCTACAAGGATATTTCAGTTCTTCATTTTAGTTAAGACTTGATCCTCCTTCAGTTTAGGGATTTATGTGTTTTAAATGATAGTTTGCCCCCAAAATAAACCTCCAATATTAATAAATCTGTGATGATTATATTCCACTTCTGAGGCAGTAATCTTGAAGGAAATGCAGCAATGCAAATCATTCAATTCAAAAGCAATCAGAAGACAGAGCCCCTGTTGTGTGGTGGGACTGTTGTGATTAGTGAAATCCTTCTTTTCTGTAAAACACACTGACATTCAAAATTCAAAACGATCTCTTTGACTTTCCCTGGTATGAGAACTTTGATGCTTAATAACCGCTGGGAGTTTATGACCAATGAGTGTACTGACAGAGCTTTTGTTATCAGTCACATATACCCAAAAAGAAAATGCCCTAATCATGTCCCATGAATACACATATCCTGCCAAAAGTGGGATGGTTGGGGCATGTTACTCTTGATGCTTCTGCATTCTTTGTCCTTCATTGTCCAATACTTTTACTAAATATTCCAATTGCATACGTTGTCCAGTACTGAGTTCGGTTGGACTATATAAGTAGTTTAGAGATAATTGGGATACGCCATGCTTTTCATACCAATAATTCCTCTGATTTACCAGAGGCCATGTAAAACATTCAGTAATTAATGAGGTTTAGATAATGCACATTGCAAACCAAATTTGGGGGATCTGAGAATAATATAAGTAACCGAAGCTAACGTAACATAAAGATAAGTTTAAAAATTTAGATAAAATGATTAAGTCTAAACTGAGCACACTAGTGGCTTCTCTTTACCAGATTGAGTTGATCTTTGTTAGAACTAATTGAAGTTACCGAATTTGTAATACATAGTGAATCAGCAAAAACACATTTACCATTCTTTTATACCTATATATGAGATTTATATTTCATTAAAATTGTTTCATTACAAATCATTAGTTTTCCCAAATTATTCCTGCAATAATAATATTGAAATGGTTCCTAATAAAAATGCTTAATAAAGTTTTAAGGTCAAACACTTTGAAGTTATGAAAAATACTCATCTATAAATAAACACACGGGAAAGTAAATTTCCCTTCTGGAATATTAACAAAGATATTGGAGCCAACAGGAGGTATTTTATCATTGTCATCAGCAAGAAAAGGATTAATTGCTGTCGTGTTCTCTCTATACTACCTTGTAGGGTACAAATTACATTTTTCTAACCTCGGGACCTTAATCAAAAACAACGAGATTTGAGCTGGTATTAATCTGCAGCTGCCAGTGGCAGCCCTTCCATAGCAGAAGATTGCAAGGTCAGCGGTGTGAACTTCCGCAAAGATGGGAGCCTACTTATCAGGAGACTATACCTAAAGCCAACAGGCAGGGACAGTGTGCAAACCAAGACCGTGCTCAAAGAAATGGCACCCTCAAGGCCCTTGCCTTTTGCCTCTGTGTTTAAGAGTGAATCATAAAAGCCATATATTAAGCACACATACGCAAAGCCTTCTGGGACTATGTTTATCCAGAAAAGTTCCTGGAAGTTTCCTTGAAGTTCCATTAAACCTAAAAATATAATTAAAAATAGTACTATGAACACTGGAATTTTCAAATAATTTTTACTTACTCAAAAGTGAATGGCAATATAACAATAGCGTGCATGACCTCTCCTTTAATCCTCATGAATCCCTTCTCCTCAGAAGCTTTCTTTATCCAACCCCATTCTTTCTCTTGATTGTTCAGTTTCACTAAACCTTCACCATTCCCCTGAATCTGGAGTCTATAAAGCTCCATCTTTCTGCACTCATTGACTGGGACCCCACATGTATATTTTCTCTGCTTATTGCATGTCTGGGCCTTAAGGTCATGCCGGGACTGTAGGATCACAGTGATCACGTGGAGCCGTGTGCACTGGTGTAGCTACCTATTTTTGGCTCAAGTACAGTTTGGTTTCTTCCTTTGTTTTTTCTCAAACATATCTAAATCTGCACCTGATCACAGTCTTTTTTATTTCTGCACATATGAGAATCTTTTTCTTTTTTGATACGCCATGGGAATTTTCTTTCCTCTCATTAACTCATGTTGTTCTTCAAGAGCACGTTTCGTAATAAATAATCTATACATAATTTTTTCAAAAATTATTTGAGATTGAATTTTGCCCTACTATTTCCCGATAAAATGATATTCAATGTTATTATGACATTACTCTTAGGTAAAATTTTTCTATGCAAAATTAACCCGTAATAGTTCACTTACCGTAGTCTTGATATTTCCAAGTGTATTAAGAAGTATTCCCGGAAGATATTTTTCTCTAACACATACCTATGAAGGACTACTTAATTTCAACTCCTCTGTGTGCGTTTTCACTGTTATTCATAGTGGAAGAAATCTAAATCTCTATATAAACTTCATTTTAAGAAAGTATGAGTATAAGTGTACTGGTGTGTATTTACAAAATTTGTATTTGACTTCTTTTAAGCCCTGTTCCAATTCCCTGAATATTTAGTACCATTCTTCTGTAAGACTCTCCCGCAGTGTGTGGTAACTACCGGCGTGTAGTCTGTCAAATTTTATTATAGATAGTTATATGCCACTTCCAAAACTGTGAATTGCTAAAGGGTAGAAACATAATAATTTTTTCCTCTTTAACATAATTGAGTCGTCGTAGATGCTTTAAAAAATGAATTAAAAAGACTTTGTTTCATTTTATTTATCTTTGTATAAATATATCAAGTCATCCTTATAACATTAGGTTAATTATTTTAAAATGTCCATGGGTAATGGCTTTGGAAATAAATCTGTAAGTCCAATAGAATAACGAAACTATTTGTAGTACTTCTCAAAGATGTGCATACTATATTCAACAGAATTTTTGTTACTTTTTTCATCTTTCTAATCATCCATCTATTCATCCAACAATAATTATTTTGTTAGAAGCAAGTATTATAATTTCACTGATGAAAAATATGAGTAAGAAAAGATAAATAGATAACTTCAAGCATAATTTCCTGAATAGTATATAATTTGTCTGCCTATTTAAGCAGGGAGTATCTGATTATATTCCCTCTATAGTTAGGAAAACCTTACATAATTTAATGCCTGTACAAATTATGCCAAATGCTACACTAACTCATGTAATCTAATATTAATAATATATGTGTCTGTATAATAAAACAATATGAAGAATATAATATATAGCATTAAAATCTCTAAAGTAAAAATCATAGGTTTGCAATTAAATATACCAGTTCACAAATAAGATATTTACTAAAGTAATAATCTAATATCTAGAACATATAAAGAATTCTTACAAGTCAACAACAAAAAGATGAACAGCCCAATTTAAAAATGGGCAAAAGACTTGAACAGACATTTCTCCAAAGAAGATATATATATTGCCATCAAGCACATGAAAATATGCTCAACATCATTAGTCATTATGTAAAAGCAAATCAAAACCACAACATACCTCTTCATTTGTATTAGAAAGGCAATAATGAAAAAAAAAAGAGAACTGTTGGCAAGAATGTGGAGAAATTAGAACCCTTGGACATTGCTGATGAGAAAGTAAGGTGGTTTAGCTGCTGTGGAGAACAGTTTGGCAAGTCCTCAAAAAGTTAAACATAGAATTATCATATGACTTAGAAATTCTATTCCTAAGTATATTTTCAAAGGAATTAAAAACAGGGATTCAAACAGATACTTGCACAGTAATGGTCATACTACATTATTCACAATAGCCCAAAGGGGGAAACAACTCAAATGTCCATCAACAGATGAATGGATAAACAAATTGTGGTATATACAAACAACCATAAAAATACTGAAGAAATCAGACATGTTACCATATACACGAACCTGTAATATATAATGTTAAGTAAAATAAGCTAGACCTAAAAGATCATGTCTTGTATGATTTCATTTATATAAAATATCTCAAATAGGAAAATCTATATAGAGAGAAAGCAAATGGGTGGCTGTCAGGGGCTTGGGGAGAAGGGAATGAATAGTAATTGCTTAATGGGTACAGAATTTTCTTTTACAGTGATGAAAATATTTTGGAATTAGATAGGATGGTGGTTGCGCAAATAGTGAATATACAAAATGCCTCTGAATTGTTCTGTGTTCTAGACGCTTCGGTTGCTTCCAAGTCTTGGCTATTGTGAATAATGCTGCAATGAACATAGGGATGCATAAATGTTTTTGAGTTAGTATTTTTATGTTCTTTGGATAAATACCCAGAAGTGGAATAACTGGATCATATGATATTTCTATTTTTAATTTTTTGAGAAATCTCCATACTGTTTTCTATAGTGGCTGCACCAATTCCCACCAGCAGTGTATGAGGGTTCCTTTTTCTCCACATCCTCTCCAACACTTGCTATTTCTCATCTTTTTAATAATAGCCATTCTGATGAGTGTGAGGTGATTTCTCATCGTAGGTTTGATTTGCATTTCCCTAATAATTAGTGATGTTGAACATCTTTTCATGTGCCTGTTGGCCATCTGTATATCTTCTTCGGAAAATGGATAAAGAAGATGTGGTGTATATATACAATGGAATACTACTCAGCTGTAAAAAAAGACAAAATTGTGCCATTTACAAAAACATGGATGGACTTGGAGGGTATTATGCTAAGCAAAATCAGTCAGACAGAGAAAGACAATTAGCATATGACTACACTGATATGTAGAAGATAAACAAACAAGCATATAGATAGGGAGAACAGATTGGTAGTTACCAGAAAAGAAGGTGGGAAGTGGAAGGGTAAAAGGGGTAAAGGGGCACATATGTATGATGATGGATGGAAACTAGACTTTTGGTGGTAAACATAATGTGGTCTATGCAGATGTCAAAATAAAATGATGTGCACTTGAAATTTATGTAATGTTATAATGTTATAAACTAATGTGACCTCAATAAAATAAATAACAAATCAAATAAAAGTAAAATGGTTAATTTTATTTATGTAAATTGCATATCAATAAGATAATAATAACCAAGTGATATGATATATACATAACAAAAATTTAAATGATTGTTATATGACAAAATAAAGTCATGCTAAGTCTCATCAGTAGGTGCTTGTTTCTAATTAGAAGTTTATATATACATATTTTAATTTAAAAAGTTATATTTTCTTTTCATAGCTATTTTCATTCCATAGATATAAAATCAAAAAAACTAATCTGCCCGTAAATTCAAAAATAAAGATGGTGCACAAAGACAGTTTTAAACTAAGGAAAGCTAGCTACAACACATCCTTTCTCAAGGGCCTATGAACTCCTCCTGAGCCTGTTAAGACATAAACACCGATAGTGTCTCCGGTAAATAAGCCCCCAAACTAATTCTTGGTAGCATGTTTCCCGCTGACAAAATCTCCTGGAGCTAGAAGATAACAGCTCTCCAGTGCAGCAATATCAGGCTTCCTGTTGATCGTTTCCTGACCTGGGTTGAGCCCAGCCTGGCAGCACAATGCCACATCACACGAAGCAAGCCTCCGTGAAGGCGCCCATTCACAGGCTGCTGGCTGCACAGCACTGAAATCAGACTTGTCCAGTAAAGCAGAGCCAGCTCTTACTTTTTCCCTCCCTTCAAGAAACAGTAGAGCATTAGAGCAGTCAACGTTGAGCCCAGATTATTCAGAGTTTCAAGAGGCTGGCTCCAAGACTGCAAATTCAGCTCTCACCTGAAACCCAGCCCTAGCACTAACAAGTTTATTTTTGCACGGTAACTAAATAACATTACAAATCATATGTAAAATCATCTGTACTTTGTACCATAACATCATGAGACGGTCAAGAGGATTTGTGATTCCAGTAATGTCAGGTCTAAGATTATTGTAGAGATCCGCTCATTCCAATGGTTCATTTGTATAGCGTCAGCAAGGATTCTTTGATCCTTACTAAGAAACATTACCAATGAAAAGATTCTGAATTATCATTTTTAGAGTACCATCCTCTCCAGTTGCTCTTTTTAAATTTGTCAATTATACCTCAACAAAACCGGAAAAAAATAAAATAAAAGTCTAATATTGCTATATAGGGGAAGCTGTTAAGCCTAAACTCATTAATGTAAATGAGTTTAATATACTGCTGTAGTTAAGACATCTGCAAACTGACAAAACGTGAATGTAGTGAATATCTGGAAGAGGAGAAGAAACAAACAACAAAAGTAAGCAGCAAACAAAGCAAAACAAAAGGCATAGGGATGGAAATATACCAAAGATATACGTCACCTTTTTTCTCTTTATGTTGAAATAATTATATAAACGTTATTAGTATTGTAATTGTGATATATGATATGCTGGACTTCCATAGAACCAGAAATAAATCATTTTTCCAGAAGTTTAGACTTCTTCAAATACTCCACCCTTTAAAAAATTTCTCCAATCTGAAACTTTCTCTAGTTTTTCTGAGCACTATATGGTGATTGTTACCATTGTTGGCTTAATTTTCCTTATAGCCTTGAAGATACTTTCAGACAAATGTCATGGTGTTTCCTTTCTTTATCATATGTTTGATCTTCCCTTCTAGGAAGATTTTCTAGATTTCTATTTATTCAGGTCTTCTTTTACGATCTCTCAAAATCTTAACCTTTTTGTCAATATAAGCATTACGCTTTTCATGGTAAATGCATTTCTAAGGATTTTGGAATTTCTCTTATTACAAATGGATATTTTATTTCACAACATCCAATTGGATGTATGTGTGTATATATATATATTGTATGTAGATAGATAGATAGAAAGAGAGAGAGAAAGAGAAGGCAAGCTTTCCAATTCTTGTATCCAGTTAGCTTTCTAATTTCTTTTTCTTAATTTTTTAAAGAATTTTTATTGTTGTTGTTTCCCGAGCCCCCAGTTGTTTGGTGAACAATTTTCTTCAATTGTTTCTTGTCCTCTATCTGTTCCTTCATTGCCTTCTGGAAATATTTTCTTTAAAATTTATGATCTCTTAAGGCTATCTTCCGGAACTCTCATTTTTCATTACTTAATATTTTTCTTAAAAAGATCTATGTGGCCAAGCATTGGGACTAAAGTTGGAATCTGGATTGCTCTCATTTTTACCATTTACAGACTGTGGTATCTTAGGCAAAGCACTAAAAATCAATTAATGTATTCCTTCTTAAAAAAAAAAGTTAACATACACACACTTACACATACAGATGCTGTAAGAGTTCAAAGAGAAATACAGAGAAGGGTCTATAAGTTACCAATGAATCTCAAGTGTTGTTTAACCAATATTGTAAAACTCTGAACATCAACACTAAATAGTTTTAAGATTTACCTAGTATCAAGGCCTAATAATGAAATCTATGAAGTCTTACCTCAGTATAATTTATATGCTACATTGGGATTGAAACTCATGATAGCAGTCAATGTGGAAAAAATTATTATGCCCATTTTTATTCTGAAGTTATAATTTACCTTTTGCAGTGAAGAGTTTTGTTTTTTTCTTCTTCTAAATGATGAAAGGTCTGTACACAAATTAACTCTATGAAGAATCAGGACCTTGAACATTGCATGGATGAAAGATTTATTTTTATTTTTTAATAACAATGTATGAATCCTGAGGATATTTTGCAAAAATATATATATACACACGGGTTAGTTTTTCAGGGTAAGAATGGAGAAAGTGCTGGGAATATTTCTTACTGGAGGGTGGTGGGAGGTGGGGAGCTGGTTGGCAATTTAAAATTTTTTTTTTTAATTTATTTTATTTTTTTCCCCCCAAAGCCCCAACAGATAGTTGTATGTCATAGTTGCACATCCTTCTAGTTGCTGCATGTGGGACGCGGCCCCAGCATGGCTGGACAAGCAGTGCGTTGGTGTGCACCCGGGATCGGAACCCGGGCCGCCAGCAGCGGAGCGCGCGCACTTAACCGCCAAGTGGTTGGCAATTTTAAATAGCAGAAACCACTGTGATCTGGCCTGCTCAGGGGTATTAGATGCAACACACTCTGCAGGCAATCTCCCGCTCGCCACAGGAATTCCTCACTCTGTAAGGAGTTTATATTTGAAGTCCAACAGAAAGTACAAAATATTTATAGAAAAATGTAGACTCATGCAAACAAAAGAAACGACAGTGATGATAAGTGGTCTTAAACTGTCTTGCCATGACGTGTATATTTCTTATATAGCCTGATATGTTGAGTAAT